AATAATTTTATTAGTTATATTGTCTTTATTTTTCTCCAATGTAAAAATTCTTTACATTCAAATTCATCAATTGATTATATTCACTACATTGTCTATTATTTTTTTTTTTTTGCACTTTTTTTAAATTAAATATCAAAGTTATAATACAAAGTAATGCTATATATTTATTTACCAAGTATTTTATTAATACCATGAAAAAATTAAAAAATATATAGAATTAATAAAGCCAATCATATTAACTATTTGAGGGATTTGTTGACAAAGAGAGTATTCAAAATAACAAATTGATGTGAGAACTATCTCGCAATATCCTTGTTTGACAATCAGCAGTTAGCGGTTAGCGTTAGCGGATTTAACCAGCGAATTATATCAACGGTTGGTAAAAAGATATTTGAAAAAATTAGTTGTTTAGATTAACATGTAAAATGACCTAAGGGTATACATATATTTAATAATAATTTAATAATAATAATAATAATAATAATTGTTTTTAAAAAATAAAAAAATATAAGTAAGCTAATCATATTAACTACTTAGTGGATTTATTGACAAAAAGAGTATTCAAATCACACAACAAATTGAAGTGGGAAACTACCTCATAATGTCCTTGTTTGACAATTAGCAGTTAACTCTTCAATATTAGTATATATTTAATATTTTATGCCCTAATTTTTATTTACTCTCCCTTATGTCACGTATTTGGTTTCAACCATACCTATACAATTATTTTATTACAATTATAATTAATCTTGACTATATTATCTTGCATTTGTAAACTTAGAATTACCTATTTAAATCACAAATTCAACATTCAATTATTTATGCATGAACAATTCCAATATAATTTTGCATTGATATACTTTAAAGTACTTATTTAAAAAAAAAAAAAAAACATTGGTCATTATCCAAATCGCGCAATGCGCGTAAAAAACTAGTATATTTTATAAAATGTAAAGCTACTGAAAATATAAAAAAAATGTTATTAATAATTAACTAATTAATTAATATTTATTAAAATGAATAATTGACTGAGAATATAAATAGCATGAAATTTAGGACAATTGAAATAGGAAATGATTATTAATAATTGATTGATAATGAAAAATGATTCCAAACTGACTAAGTACATGGAAAGAATTTAATCTCAATTATATATTATATATTTTATAAAATGTAGAGTTACTGGAAATATATATAAAAAAAAAATTGTATATATATGTTACTGGAAATATAGTTATGTAAAGATATATATTTAAAAATGAAAAATGGAATAGAATCGTTTAGTATCCACAATTCATAAGGGAAATTGTATAATTAAAGATGGAAAAAGGTTTTGCAATATGACATGAAAATATAAGGTTTAGCCGAAATGGAAAGAATATTAATCGAGAGGGAAATTAATAATTTTTACACCAAATGTTATTTTATACTAAGAATATAAGAATTATGTAATTATAAGGTTTAGCCGAGATGGAAAGAATATTAATCTCAGTTATATATTTTATAAAATGTAAAGTTACTGAAAATATTAAAAAGAAAATCTGTATATATATGTTACTGTAAATACAAATATGACGTAGTTTTGGGAATGACTACTTTTTAGACAATGAGATTTAGGGGTGTGCAAACTTCACTGAAAGTTCAGTTAGCCAATCAAACCTAAACATTTCTGTTAACTTTTCTGTAACTGAAAAACTTCAGTTCAATTAATGATTAAAGAATTTGTAAAATTTCGGTTCACGATTAATTCAGTTCGAAACTATCGGTTAACCCAATTAATGAAACGATTAACCAAAATTTAAATGATATATATATATATATATATATATATATATATATATATATATATATATATATATATAGAGAGAGAGAGAGAGAGAGAGAGAGATGTATTCAAATGAGGATTGTGCGGACAAGTGTAGCCATGTGCCATTAGTCTCTGTGTGTGCGCGTGTGTATGGATGTTTGGATTTAATAATTTCTGCTTTTATGTTTGTAATGTTGTTATGGTATTGTGTTTGCATATTTTGTTATGGACTTATTATTATAAGTATTATTTTAATTGAATTTATTATTATATGTATTATTTTAAAAATTTAAAACTTTAGTTTAAAAATCTTCGATTAATCCGTTAATTGAACGGTAATACAAACTTCGGTTTAGTTAATGGTTAAAACTTTAAAACTTAAGTTCAAACGTTTTGGTTAACCAATTATACCCCTACCGAGGGCTAGATAGAAATGAAAATGCTTTGCAGAATAAGAGACGAGCGAAATTGATTTTTCAGATTGATTGATAGAGGGGATCGGTGGTTTTAAAGGTGGAATTGGACCAAATGAATCAAAATGGGTTAAGGATTTTTTTTTTTTTTTTTTTTTGATAATTTTGGAAAGTATTGGCCTGAGTTATGTCATTTTGAATACAATATTTAATTAAAATTTGTAAAATAAAATTACTTAAGTAATAAATATCTAATTAATATATAAAATTTAATTTTTTTTAACATCGCGAGTCATTCCTTAACAATCATTTTAACTCTGCCAATTTATTTTTTTAGAAAATAAGTCGTATGGTAATCAGAATAATACACAAGCATCGTTGCTTCGATCGAATATGTTTTTTTGATAATGCTCAGCCGTTGTTAGAATCAATTGTTGGTTCACCAACATTTAGTCCAGTTAATCCCAGAGTGAATGATAATCAAATTTGTTATATCAATAGCCTACCTAACTATTTTACTGAAGCATTTTTAAATTTTCTCCCTTGCTGTAAATAATTGCAATGGCTAGTAGTGAAGCATTGTACGGTGAATTTATGATTTGCTCTCCAAGAACATCAATTAACATGCCTACAAATGGTAATATAACTCACATTGAAATTATTTATAATAGCCTTTACATTTTATTATATACAAATTTTGATTGATTTGTTGCTTTAATTTAAATTATTGATTTATTTCAATTAATGTGTTTATTATGTATTTAGGGAAAATGGCACTTTTTACCCCTGAGTTATATACTTATAGCACTTTTTCCCCCTCAATTCTTTAGGTAAGCACATTAGCCCCCTCAATTATTCTAAAAGTGGTTCTTTTTCCCCCTGATATATTAAATTGACATTTATACCCTTAAAGTAAACATTTTATTTATTTTACTACTCCAACAAATTATTGCGTATACGTAGGGATGACCACGGTTCGGTTTGAATTGAACCGGATACTAAAGCAATAGAATTAATAGTTCCCGGTTATAATTCAGATCTAGAACTCAATATTTAAATGTCAATTTATTAAAATTATGTATCAAAAAAATTGAATCTTGAACCGTGAACTGGCTGTTCCGGATCCGATTCGCGATTTTGCACCGTCTTTATTTTAAAATTTTATTTTTTATTTTTTATTTTAAAATAATCTAAATTCAACAATAAATGTATTTTTTTTTTCAGTTCGGAACATGAACCGTCCGTTCCGGTTCATGGTTTTAATAAGCTCTAAATATCGAATTTCGATTCTAAATTGTAATTGGAATATTTCAGTTTGGTTGCTATAGTGTTTGTTTAGTTTGAACCAAATTATGGTCATAATTTCTTGGAAAAAAATAAATTAAATATTTAGTTTAAGGGTAAATATGTCCATTTAACATTTCAGGGGAGAAAACAGCCACTTCAATAATTTAGGGGGAAAAAATGCTATAGGTATATAACTCAGGGGGAAAAAGTGCCGTTTTCCCATGTATTTATTTGTTTTTATTGTTTCCCAAAAATATTGCAGTTGTTATCAAACCAAAATAATATATAAAATTTAATTTATATTACGTGATGCATTAATAGTTGTGTCTTTAAAGTACAAGTCATTCTATGATAATCTCTTAAACATTGATATTTTTCTTTACAACCAAAGTAATATATAAAATTTAATTTATATTACGAGATGTATTCATAGTTGTGTCTTTAAAGTAAGTTATTCTATGAGAATAATTTAAACATTGATATATATTTTTTTTAATACTATCAACTCTATTACAATGTAGTATCTGTTCTATACTTTCTCAAACTATTGCAACTCAAATTAAAGAGTCAATACCCCACCACCGGGGTTCGATTCTGTGATCTTCCTGTAACATGTTCATTGTAATTACACTATTAAGTGGTGCAAGTTTAATAGGCCAATTATGGCCATTATGTTGTGGTTTGAAACGGAAGTAACGGTTTCCGTTACTTAGCCTATAATGATGACATGCATGTAGGCTATTTAAGCATGGTCCTCCCATTGCTCCTGTGGCAACTTTACAACTACACCATCTAGTTCATACAGGAGATTAATGGTAGACAACAAAACTATGATCATTGGAGTTCTTGAAGCAACAATACAATGCAACAAAGTATCAACTATGGCTGGAGTTTTGCTTGATCATTATGCTTCCGCTATGAGGTTAGGTCATCACATGTGTTGAAATTGTGTGTGTATTCTAACATTTGGTATCAGAGCCTGTTTAATCTCTGCCTAGTTGATGAATTTGCATATGATATATATTTTGATTTATATATTATGCAATATATATGTTTTATTGCTTTTTTCCTCCAGAGTATGTTTGCATGTTTGCAGTATGAATATCTCTGTTGCCATGGAAGTAAAAATGGATACATGTACTTTGTTATTCTCTATATATTTAAATATTTCTAAAATAATTTTGGTAAATGTTATACGGAGTATTATTTTTAACATAAAATTTTAACCTGCTGCATGTTTTTCACGTGAGAATTTATTTTCTTCACTTTGCATATGAGCCTCGGACGGTTGCCATTTTACCATTTTCTCCGATGACCGCTATTGGGCGTCAGAGAGATGACAACGACGGTGATGATGACATCATTACCGTAAGGCTCGTCAGCGGCGTTGGGTTTTCCGGCTAGAGACAGGAGGTCGTAGCTTAGGCTGGCGGCGGATGATGTCGCTAAAGACTGCGGCTGTACTTGGCAGAGGCGGAGGTGCGACGGAGAGATCAGAAGACGTTGGAGGGGTGCGCCGCTGGGTTCCCGGTGGTGGTTGATAGCGGTATTGTTCCTCCTCCATTGGATCCGGGCGGTTTTTCTTCTCCATCTGGTGACATCTCTCTCTTTCGGCGCTCCCGGTTGATGCTGATGCTACCGGTGACTATGCTCCGGCGAGCGGGAGGCAGTGGTGACGATGGTATTCGTTCACGATGGTCACCGTTAGTTTCTGGAAGTGGATCGGATCTGTAGCACAGTTTGAGTACTTTCAATCAGTGCCATAGTAGCACCATTGTTTGCCTTTTGCCCTTTGAACTTGGCAGGGTTGGCGTCGTCATTAAGAGGTGATGATGAAGGGTCCTGCCTGGGATGCTACTGTTATGGACAAGAATGGTAGAGGGAGGAGGCAGTGTGACACTACTGCTGCACTCTGCCACAGCAACGCCATGGGGCGCTGTTGTCTTGTTTCTGGCCTACACCGTCGTCTGGGGCGGCGTTGACATGCATGACCATTGGCGTTGAAATTGGGCTCCTCGGAGTGTTGTGATGAGTTAATGGGATGTTGTGTTCCCGGTGTTGCAACTAGCAACGCAAGGGCGTTGTGACACGACGGGGCTTAGCGGTAATGTACAGCTTCGGGGTGACAATGTCTGGCAATTACCAGTTTGGCTATGGAGAAACATTTGTAAATCATCATAGGGCTGCCGTGCTCCATGGATGGCTTGCTGCAATTGTCTTCCGTCTAGCACTGCATCTTTATCGGTTATGGCAATTGTAAAGGTGAGTGTTTCGTGCTTATTAATGTAGATTTAAAGCCTTGTCATTTTCCTTAATTACTGCAATTATTCTCCGTAATTGATATTGGCATATTATGGTAAAAGTAAATGATTATAATTTGTGGCTGATTTGCCTGATTGACTGTGTATTATTGTATTCGTCATCAATCAATTTTTTAAAAAGGCTCTCATTTCCTTATAGAGTTATGTATGGTAATATGCCCCTCAATATTTGATTCATCATTATATCAAAGATATATTATCTAGATATTATGATTTCATACAATGTTATTTGAATTATGCCTTTATATTAGTTTATTAAAGTTGAAAATGTTGGCTATTATATTTTTCAACATTAATGTATTTCGGATTTTTAATTTTAATACGTTTTAAAATTTCCCCGAAAATGTTTTAAAGGTTTGCGGTGTTAGCAATTGTTTTTCCATGTTAGATCTCCTAATTGTCATAATATTATGTGATTTTTATGGCTATTCATGGCAATTTCATAATTTTGCAACCATGCCATAATTCAATAATATTTTAATTATGGAGTATGATTTTGAATCACAATTTTGGAAAATACATATGTTTATGGCTTTTTGATATTGCTTTAATTTCAGTCTTGCCATAATATTTTCGATTATGATGTTAAGAATTATATTTTGTAATTCTTATTGAATTTGCTTGTCCAAAACTTTTATAGTAATAATGATGATATTATGTAACATTTAATAATAATAATGATGATTATCATTATTATAATTAAATGTTGTTCGGTTACAATTAAGAAAATTGATTATTCCGTTATTACTGTTATATAATAATTATTAGAATTATTATAGTAATAACGAGTATTGGTTTTTGAACCGATGGATCAATGTTTTGTGCCGTTACTGTCATCATTTGTTTTGGATTTTGATATGATTTGTAATCATAATTTTGAAACCATTTCATTCTTGATCCAAAACATATATGTGTTAATAGTGATAATATCATTTTATAGTCATTACTATTAAATGTCAGAGGTTACGATTGAGGAAATTGATTGTTCAGTTATTACTGTCACGTAATTGTTATTATAGTAATAACGATTATCGTTTTTAAACTGAAGAATTAATATGTCGTGACATTGTTATATTATCATTATTGTTTTTGGATTGTGATGCCCACTTTGATTAAAGTATGAATATTTAATTTTGTATTCATATTTTTTAAGTTTGTTTTATGCATATAATTAAATTAAGTGCATAATATTATTGTTTAAATTATGCAATTTAGTTTTATGAGAATTTAATTTGTAAATGTCAACATATCATATGGTTTTGATATGGTTAGAATTTACAATTTTAAGCTAGTTCTCATAAAGTTTACTATATGCATTGAATCACCTTTGTATTGGGCCTACAAGGTAAAACTTTTCAATAATTGGAAAGTATATGATTATTATAAATTATTATTCAAATTTTATAATCCTTTAAGTTTTGGATTTATGTTGTTATTTGAATAATAGTTTTATAGCTCACTTTAAATTGTTATTATGGTGCACAATTTATTTGGATATGAGCATATTGAATTTCACATATAATCGTTCAGTAGCATAACATTATATTTTCTAGTTATGTGAATTTAATTATGCCTTTGGAATTGCATAAGTTAGGAATTATAATAATTCCTTGTTAAGGTGAACCTTGTGTGTGGAATAATAAACAGTAGTGCATTATGTTTAAGCACATTTAGACCGTTTAGAATGTTCACTTGAGATTAAAAGTCTTTCCATATGCGAACTATTAAAGATTTGGAAAGATTGCTTGTCAATTATGCCTTTAGTTTGAGAAAACATAAACCGGTGAAAAGTTTCTCGGGAATGGGCCAATGTGCTACTAGTTCCCTTGAAACATTACTCTGTCTAAGGAGTTGGTTATTTTTAATGAGGCTCCGTCCCAACCAACTTTCCTGGGAGTATACTTGGAATTATTTATCATATTGTTGCATAATTGTTTTTTAAGCTTTAAAGTTGATGCCTAAGATATTAAGAAAATAGTCTAGTGATCTTATAATTTTGATTAATTAAGTAATAGCCACGGTATCTTTGATTAATTGAAATTTTGCGAGATCACATACAGTCATAGACGTATTGATTGTGATTAATTATATGATATAATAAAATTTAGCCCACAGGCAATTTTGTTATGTTTATATGATTAATTAGGATAAAAACACCAAACTATGATCATAATTTAGCCCACAGGCAATTATGCATCGGAATATAGTTTTGGTGAGTTTTATCATTACAGATAGGAAAGTCAATTTATTTAACATATGGTTTTAATATAAATAAATTGGCGTCTTCTATCATAAAGTTATGATATATGTACATATTCAAAAGTATTTTTATGTGTACATTTGTGGTATTAGTCTAGTTTCTTTTATGTGTATTTATTATGCATGAATGAAATTTGGATTAATAGCTTGGTACATTAATATTCTTTTGTGTACAAATATCAAGTGATCAATACAATTTCATAATTGAAATTATTAAGTTATTTTGATCACTTTGTGACTAATTACATAAAGTATAATAAAATCTACCCACAGGAATTTTATTATATTAATGTAAATAGTCAAGATAAAATATTAAATCATATTTCTTAATTTACCCACAGGGATTAAGAAAAGGAACATGGTTTGATAGTTTTTTCATAAAGTTGTAGATGAATATAATTGAATAAAACTTTAGCCCACAGGCAAGTTTTATGTCACTAGATTCTTCTATCCCCTTTGATAATAATTTTATCATAAAGTTTTAGTTGAGTCTAATCGAACAAAACTTTAGCCCACAGGCAAGTTTTGTGTCACTAGATTCTTCTATTTGATTATCATAAAGTCTTAGTTGAGTCTAATTGAATAAATCTTTAGCCTACAGGCAAGTTTTATGTCACTGGATTCTTCTGTTTAAATTGATGATCAAGATAGAATTTTATCATACCAATTTTAGAACTTATAACTTTAAGGCTAGTTATAATTCTATGTCACATGGGTTGCATTGGCAACACATGTATTTTGTTAAACTCCAAAACTTTAGTAACTTAAAATTGTTACTGTATGTGGCTTACTTGATTTTTCAGCCCAACCACAATAAAGCTTTTGAATTTGGACTTGATATACTTTTGGATCCTTATATTGGAATTGTACATATCTAGCCAAATTTCAACTAAAGCAATTTAATTTGTTTAAATAGTTGGAAATTGTGTTTGTTACATGTACATATTTAACATGTCCAACTATGGTGGGGAATTATAATCCTTGTTAAATTAGTTGGACTTGAGGATCATTAGTGTGTATATCATCTATGCTCAAGAATAACTTTATTAGTGGGAGTAATGGTTTTATCAGTGGGAGTGATCATTTAAAAGATCAATAAGATGTCCCATTTGATCAGTGGGAGTGATCATTTGGAAAGATCATTAAAGATGTCTCACTTCAAGATTGCTCCACTTCAAGGATAAGACACCTTGCCTTGTTATTATAAAATCAATAGTTCAATTTGTTGAACTAGCTACAAGTTGTGCAACATATTTCTGAAAATGTTGTAACAACATTAATAGTTTTTATTATAACAATGACATTAAGTTTATGGTGAACTATCACGAGTTAGATTCTTTAGCATTTATTGGAGTCTTTCGTCTCATCAAATTGATCCTGGGCCATTAAGATTTAAAAGGTTCAAGATTCAATGTTGAGAGACATAAAGCATGCAAAGACTCATGATGTTGGTTCATATAGATGAATCTTGAGGGTTTTTTGTTTTTATGATGATACAATATTTTTGTTGTTTCATAAAGTTACATTAATAAATCTTCGGTATTGCTCTATGACATGAAAGTTGGGCTTCCTTCCTTTGTTTTGGAGATCATTTATAAGGTGTATGTTTAAAGTTCCGTTTGTGGGCTTAGACTCATGAATTTGTTATCTAAGTCGTTGGAATATGGACTACTCAATTATTATCTTTGGCTAAGATTAATGAGAATAGGAGTGGCAGACGTGTCAACTCTGAAAACTTAGCTGTCAGCAATAATATTAAAGATAATGAGTTAGTCATGTAATATATTAGCATTTTGCTAATAGTTTCGGATCCCTACTTAAGGCATGCTTATAAAAATTTTAGGGATCATACATGGTACATGGAACTTATTATGTGACTATATTGTACGTACATTTATGTTGTCACTTCTATTTAATAATTTGGATGGTTTCTCCTATGGTTATGCGCATATTTATTTGAGAAACATCCCTAAGGTTGGACCAAGAATAAACGTAGGGTTTATTCATAAAGGATCTGAGTTGGGAATCAAAATGCATGTGATGCATAGATGGTATTACTCACCTTTTAATTTAGAGGACATACCACTATGATTCATGCTTTTGATCTTCAATGAAGGTTGTGCCAATACTTGCACCAAATGGAAAATTGTAACATTTTCCATTAATGTTGTACAAATCAAGTGGTGTAAGTTTATTAGGCCAAATTTAGCCATTGCGGCAATAATTAGTTTTGATAACTAATTATAATCAAGAATGAACATAAGGTTTATTCATTAAGTTTTATACCACATAAGGTACTTAGAGAATAAATTACATTGTAATCATAAGTAGATACTACTCTGATTAAGAGGAACCATCTCTATGGTTCATGTTTTTTGTTTCTTTGAGTTAATACTTGCACCAAGTGGGAGAATGTAACATTTTCATTGTAATTACACTATTAAGTGGTGCAAGTTTAATAGGCCAATTATGGCCATTATGTTGTGGTTTGAAACGGAAGTAACGGTTTCCGTTACTTAGCCTATAATGATGGCATGTAGGCTATTTAAGCATGGTCCTCCCATTGCTCCTGTGGCAGCTTTACAACTACACCATCTAGTTCATACAGGAGATCAATGGTAGACAACAAAACTATGATCATTGGAGTTCTTGAAGCAACAATACAATGCAACAAAGTATCAACTATGGCTGGAATTTTGCTTGATCATTATGCTTCCGCTATGAGGTTAGGTCATCACATGTGTTGAAATTGTGTGTGTATTCTAACACTTCCCTCAAGGGGAGTCACAGATGAGTCATCTAAGCACAAGGTGCTTGACATTGATATTTTTCTTTCTTTCTTTTTGTTTTTTGAAAATGAGTCGGTATTGCAATACATTGTTGGTTCTTCAACATTTTATCCAGTTAATCCAAGATTGAATGGTGTGCAAATTTTATTTTCCAATACCTTATTATACACACCTATTTTCTTCAGTATAAAATGCAATTATAGATTACATGAATATTATTATAAATTATAAAACTATTACTATATAAAATCTAACAACTATTATGCTTATTAAGCTCATAATTACATGAATATTAGTATAATTACAATTAAACATGGTATAAAAGTATAATTTCACAATATTAGTATACTTACCTAATAATTATTATGGTAATTAAGAAATTAATTACATAGATATTAGTATAATTGATTAATAATTATTATGTTAATTAAGCTAATAATTACACGATATTGATATAATTATAATTGAACATGAGTTGTTGGATTTTTATAATAATTACAATGAATTCATTCAGATATGGTGGATGAGGAAAAACTAAATGTGATATGGTGAAAATAATATACTTAAGGTATAAAAGAATAATTATACATATATTAGTATAATTGACTAATAATAATTTACTTAATAATTATTATAGTAATTAAGCTAAACATTGATTGTTGAATTTATTTTTATAATAATTACAATTAAATTATTTCTCATTTTTTCAATATTTATTTTAGTAATAATATAATTACATAAATCATATTACATATTGATCTTTTTAAGATAATTGCAGACAAACGAGTCATATATTATTCAATTAATTGAGTGATACTATTGCACTAATCTTATAATCAAATAAATGTACACGATCAATATTACAATTTTTTTATAATTTTGTTTTTAATTTTATTATCTAAATATATAATACAAATATTATCCGTACATCGCACGGGTAATTGGACAATTATTTGCTCGAATTCAAGCAAGGATAACATTAAAAAAAAAAACATAATCAATCCAACCAATTTCATCAATTGCACTATATAATATTCGATGTTATAATTTATATAATTATATCTCGATCCAAATATTCATAAAATATTATAACAAAATCCATTCCGTGCAGCGCACGAGTACAAATACTAGTTAGTTCAAAATAAAACTTAGTTTACTTGATTCAATAATTCAATTCAATGTATTATAACAAATACTAGAAGACTTATGAAACATACATATCACTTATGAAACATACATACAGCAGTGTAGAGATTATGTCTAAAGTAGACATATCTCTTCTGCGCTATTTACTGAATTACTGAGTTACCGTACCGATTAGAGATTCAACCTTTTGGGGCAATGAAATACAACGATTATGCATGTAGATTAGATCCAAACTATATATATTGAATGAATTAAAATCATCATTTCTTATTACGTCAATTAACCAATAAGTAACATTATATTGTCCATGTATGCAATAAAATTAGCCCAACAGTGAGTGCTTGGTAGCTCATTATTCCAACAACTTTGCATAGATGCAAGCTAAGAGTAGAAGATCAGATCAGAGCTTGTAATTGATTGAAGCCCAATCAAAACTTTAGTACATCAATGTTAGGAATTTGTTTCATCGTATCGACATAACGAATTGAAACATATAATATTTGATTCCAATTTCCTGACCCCACCACAAGGATGCTCAGCTCCAAGAAAGCTAGCTTTAATTTATAGCAGGGAATTGAATGTTTGCCAAAACCGGCAAAAAGCAAAGGGACTATATTCTCAGAGAAAGTAGCCATGGCTGCCAGTTTTGGTATAATCACGAGCAAACCCAAACTGTTACTTGTCTAGATTAGCATAAACATAGTCTTGAAAAGTAGGAAATTTGAAAAGGGTTGTTGAGCCATGTTTTAGCGTACAAGATGGTGACAAAGATATATAGATGCTCCATGATGAGATCTTTTATGTAGATGAGCATATATATATATGGGCTGTTTGGGACATGTGTCTCTATATCTCTTCATTCAAATATTACTAATTATCGTACTTCATGCATGTAATTTTTTAAGGTTGGAGGCGAAGTAGTGATGCTCTTCGAATTCATCTCCAAACCTGAGATGAAGAGGCCTTTGTCTAGAGGCAAGAACCACTCTTTATTCGTCTCTGACTTGGAAAGGAAGAGACCTTTAATTCTTGAAATAAGGGTTAAATAGGTCATCGAACTACACACGAAAATACAATTAAACCATTGAATTCAAAATAACATGCAATTGGGTACTGGACAATACAAAATGATGCAATTGAATCCAAAGTGACCTGTTTTACTTGTTAATTTGTTGACATGGAGGTTATAATATAAAATAATAAATTTTTATTTTATTAAATAATTGTAAATAACACAATTTTTTTTATTTAAAATTTGTTATAGCATATCAAGTTATCAACTCACTTTGTATATGATATATATATATATATATATATATATATATATATATATATATATATATATATGTGTGTGTGTGTGTGTGTGTGTGTGTGTGTGTGTGTGTGTGTTAAACGACATTTCAACGATTTTTTTGACAGATGACAAAAAACGGTAATGCCACAATAATATTATAACCAAATAAAAATGTATGTTCTGAAAAAAAAAATAACTAAAAGTGAATTACCATTGATAAATCTAGGATAAAAAATGAAATTAACTCATATTTTTAAAAACATACATATTTTTGTAATTCACATAGACTCAATTTACGAGTTAGCCCTTGACTATGGTGATATTTTATATTTAATTCTCAACTAAAAATTTTACTATATTTTATTGTCAACTTTATTAAATGACAATCCTTTTTTTTTTTTTTTGAAAGCCAAATATTTTGGTATATTAATGAACGAACATAGTAATAGAGTCAGGTGGGATTACATCCCAGTACATAGGATGTTCCTGATCGAACGCTAACGAAGCTAGTGTATGAGCATGCATATTAGCAGTTCTGGAAATATAATGTAAAGGACAGTAATTAAATAATGACATAGTTGTCCTGCACTGGTCCGCAATGATCCCAACATACGATCGTATTTCGGTACTTCTTGATATTATCATGTTACGCAACTCCATGCAATCAGTGAGTAGATCAACTCTCTGTATATCGCGCCCTTTAAGCCACGATAGGGCTTCCTTGCATGCTAGGGCTTCTGCCATAATGGGTGAAAAGGCACCAGGTAGTGTCCCCGCCGAGGCTGCCATAAAAACACCCTCGTGATTGAGTAACACAACTCCGTACGTTGCTTCCTCCGTGTGTTGTCTGTAGCCTGCATCGAAATAGCACTTGAGCCCATACGGTTCGGTTTCCGGCATCACCGTAGCATTCGGCTGTGCCGCCACTCGTCTCAGCCTGGTGAAGGCCTCCTCGGTCAGCACCGCCTTCTTCACTGTAGCCGTAGGCCGTGGCAAGGCTCTCTCCCATAACGCCAAATTCCTTGCTAGCCATAAGTAGTAGAGGATCCCAACTGTCAGGCGTACTTGCCCCTCTAACAACGAGTCCATCATGCCTATGAACCATGATTGGAAAAAATTAGTTTGAATATTCGTAACAGGTAATCCCGAAATATTCCAAACCATTTTAGAATAATCACATAAAATCAGCACATGCATAATATTTTCTTGTGCATTGCCACACATGGGACATATAGGATCCACCTCCACTCGTTTAACAATTAAATTATCAGTGGTGGGTAGTATGCCAGACACAGCTCTCCATAAAAAGGTTTTCCATTTAGGTGGCACTCTTAATTTCCATAATGTAACCCATTTATCAAAAGCACCTGGGTCATCAGAGTAGTCCCCCATAATACGCCTATAGGCATTCTTAACCGTGTATATTCCTTGTGTGTGACCCTTCCAATACCAAGTGTCATCATAATCTGGGCTTATTGGTATTCTTGAGATTCGGTTCACATCCTCAGGAATAAATAAATCATTGAGAATATGTGGATCCCAGGTACCCGTATCTTGATCTACGAGGCCACTCACTAGTGCTTGTCTTAACTCTTCAGGCATGTGTGTTTGAACCAAAGGACTAGGATCATCAGACAACCAAGGATGTCCCCATATCAATGTATCCCTACCGTTTCCAATCCTTCTGCGCACCCCGGCACAGACTAGATCATGGGTGGTCATAATACTCCGCCAGCAGTGGCTCGGACTATTTCCTATAGTAGCATCAACAAAAGTAGTCGTTGGATAATATCGAGCTTTATAGATCCTTGCTACCAAAGTGGTAGGTTCTGTAAGAAATCTCCATGCCTGTTTCCCTAGCATGGCCAGATTAAAAGCACGAAGGTCCTTAAAACCTAATCCTCCATATTTCTTAGGGATGCATAATTTATCCCAAGCCTTCCAATGTATTCCACGATCTGCACCTGTCCCCCACCAATATTTATTCATAGTACGTTGTATAGACAAACACACTGATTCAGGTAACAAAAAAACACTCATAGAAAATGTAGGCATAGACTGAGCCACACTTTTTAAGAGTACTTCCTTCCTAGCCTGTGAGAGTAACTTTTTGTTCCATGATCCAATTCGTTGCCCGGTTTTATCCTCAATATATGCAAAAACAGCCCTTTTATTTCTTCCTATAAAGGAAGGAAACCCCAGATATTTCCCAAAATTGGATGCCAGTTCCACACCCAAACACCACGCCACTTGCTGCTTCTGCGCCATCTGGGTATTTCTACTAAAGCAAATATTTGATTTATTATAGTTCACCATTTGGCCAGACAATTTCTCATATCTAATCAGGCATTGCTTAACAACAGCTGCTTCCTCAATATTTGCTTTGAAAAACAACAGACTGTCATCTGCAAAAAATAAGTGTGAGACCGGTGGTGCCCCTCTAGCCACCCTACATCCATGTATAGCCCCATCCATCTGTGCTCTCTGTAATAACATTGAGAGTCCCTCCGCACAAATAATAAATAAATAAGGAGAAAGAGGATCTCCCTGTCTCAGTCCACGAGTCGGGGTCACACTTCCACCCACCTCCCTATTTATCATAATCGAATATCTTACTGTGGTAACACACAGCATAATAAGGCGGATCCAGTGCTCATCAAAGTCCATAACAGTCATCATCTTCTTCAGGAAAGGTCATTCCATTCTGTCATAAGCTTTTGACATGTCCAGTTTTAACGCACTCCACCCCGCACGGCCACACTGTTTCCTATGCAAATAGTGTCCCACTTCCGCAGCAACCAATATATTATCTGTAATCAAACGGCCCGGAATGAAAGCACTCTGGGACTCTGAGATTATTCCTCCCATCAGTGGCTTCGTTCTATTGGCAATCATCTTCGCCATTATCCTGTAAACAACATTGCTTAACGCAATTGGCCTCATATCTGCAACTGTCTCAGGTAGTGTTTTCTTAGGGATTAGCACTATATTTGTATCATTCAATCCCTCCGGGAGGGCACATGAATTCAACGCACCTGTTATAAAACGAGTTACATCATCCCCCACTACACTCCAAAAGTGCTGGTAAAATCCCGGATTCATACCATCCAGTCCCGGTGCCTTATCTGGGAACATGGAATACACTGCCTCCTTTACTTCATCCGCCCCATAGGGTCGTATCAACAAAGCATTCTGCTCTTGAGTAACTCGGGGACTAAAATCCTCAAACAACGGATCTGAGCAACTGGAATAATTCGAGGTAAAAATATTTGTATAGTAATCCACTATCACTGCTTTCATCTTATCCCCCTCAACCCACAAATCATCATTATCCTTAATACGCATAATTAAATTCTTTTTCCTACGGGCAGAAGCATACCTGTGGTAGAATTTTGTGTTGGCATCTGCTCCCCGTAACCAATGTTGCTTTGCCCGTTGTCTCCAAAATACATCCTCCTGGGCTTCCAGCAGATTCAGCTGCTCATCAATCTGCCGGAATTCGGCTAGTGCCGCGTGGTCCCTCCGATTGCGGATAGATTCTTGCCGTCGTCGCAGCTGGCCAATACGTTTTCCAAACTTATGAAAACGTTCACCACCCCATCGCATGAGTTTCTCTCCACAATATCGTTGGCACCCAAGCAGCCCTTCAATCTTCCCATCCTGCCAGGCAGTCTCCACAACCTCTTTACAGCCTTCTTCTAAGAGCCAGGCCATCTCGAACCGAAAACCCCTCGGGTTTCCTCCCCTCGGTATGCATGGTGCATTAATGTTGAGGAAAAGAATCGAGTGTTCCGATGCTCTAGTTCGAATATTCTCCAGCCATGCATTACGATTAATATCATTCCAACTCGTTGTGGTCAACACCTTGTCAAGTCTTTCCTCAATCCAATTCTGCGTGCCCTTACCTTTCTCCCATGTGAATTGGTACCCCCTCATAGGCATTTGGGCCAACCCACATTCATCAACAGCCTCCCCAAAACCGCGTAGGAGACTATCAGGATACGGGTTACCTCCTCTCTTCTCATGCTGGAACAAGATATTATTAAAATCCCCCACCACCACCCACGGCAACGCGGACCTACCCTTCAACGTGTGCAACAAATCCCATGAGTCCCTCTTCTCGTTCCACTTTGGAAAGCCATAAAAACATGTCATCCGCCATTGCTTCCCGTCAATCTGTACCTCCACATCCACATGGTTCTTAGAATAACTCAACAACTGTACCGTATTATTCTTTTTCCACAAAAGAGCCATACCACCACTCATCCTATCATTGTCAACATAAAATAACCCCTCGTATCCAAGACTAACACGAATCCGCTCTGCATGTATCCGTGCCACCTTGGTTTCCATTAAGAACACAAAATCTGGCTTCTTACGGGACCCCAAGTCCACAATCTGTCGAACTGTTTGTGGATTGCCCAAGCCACAACAGTTCCAGCTTAACGTACTCATTGGGACGGGCGGGGCTGTGCAGCAGCTCCCACCATGGACAAGTTTTTTGAACCCTCTTACATAATAACATCCTCTCCCTCAAACTCCGTACCCCGTCGGCCTCCATCAGCCTGCCTGCGCCTTTTCCCGGTGGCTTCCACCTGCTCTTCGGCCTCCAATCCGCCCCGTACAGGTACGGCGCCACTGGGTCGTACCACTACCGCCCCGGTCACTCCGCTACCCACCTCTATTGGTCGTGGTCTCCCGCCAACCGGCACAAGCCAGCTATCCCCAACCGCTCTAGGAGCGCTCCAGGATCCACCAGCTCGCATATCCGGACCATACGGGTACCGCTCCAATGGTATGCCAGAATCCCGCGCCCTAATGCAAAAATTATATAGATGTCCCATTAATCCGCAGTAAAAACAAAACCTGTGTAACCGTTCATAGCGAAACGTTACCCAAGCCGTCGTCTTATCCCTTTTCAGTAGCTTCATTCGTCGTCGTAATGGTTTATCCACCGGAATAGAAACCCTAATTCGGTGGAAAGTCAACCACGGGGCCCCTTCAAACCGATCATCATGTTTCACAAAGGTACCAATGAAACTTCCAGCCTGCTCTAACACCGATTGAGATGTATATCCCAACGGCATATCGTGTAACTGCACCCACATATCAATTGTGTTCAACGGGACCTCCCCGGGGAGAGTATTCGGCGGTACCTCCCTGCAAACCAAGGCATTATTCTCAAAAGCCCAGGGTCCTCCAACCAAGACATAATCCACGTCCGTTCTATGAAAGAAAACGAACAAGAACACACCCCTCTGGATCTCCGTAACCTGAACCCCTCTGACCGGTTGCCATACGGAAGCTAAAACCTGACGCATAAACTCTAACTTCACCATCCTCTGAGTCAGGAATCTTCCTATAACTTTCCACGTCTCCTCCATATCCCCGTCGGCCTGCCCTACGTCGTCCCCGACCGGCGCAAAAGCCGCCTCTTCCTCCTCCAGCGACCATTGTGCCCACTGTTCGGTGACCATAGCAACATCGTCCTCCCTCGTTTCCGTTCGCTGATCCGGGTCTGGCTGCACCGTCGCCATCAGAGTGTTCTTCCTTCGCTAGTCGTACGCCGGCTGTGGCCGGAAAGATGCTATCAATGCAAAACCCTAGGAAACCCTAGTATGGAGGCAAAACCCCTAGAGAGATTCTAGAGAGAGAATTTACAATTTTAGTTAAATGACAATCCTACATTAGTTATTTGTTACCAATTTCCACATCTTCTCCCAATCCAAAGGCTACAGGGGCTTTTGGTGCAATGAATGTAAGAAAATAATGCAGTATTTTTGTGAATCTCGTATGATTTTATAAATTGGGGGAATGAGATTTTGTGATAAGAAATGAACTAAAAATTAAGTTTAGAAATTTACATTCTATTGAACAAAATATGGGCATATAACATTTCAATTTTCACATTTCAAATGTTATGTGATATAATATGAACTAAACTCTCTCTCTAAGGGGCGTTTGGTTCATGTCATCTTAGATTGCCTAGATAATTTGAGTTTGGTAATGTTATATTACCTTGTTTGGTTCAAGTTATGAGATTACCAGGTAATGTTATATTACCTGAAAGCTGATGGGGCGGTAATGTTTCAAGTTAATGTGATTACTCCCATTTTTTTTAAGTAATCTTATATTACCTTGAATTATTCCAACTTTGCCCTTGTTAACTAGTCCTTATATAATAATAATAATAATAATAATAATAATAATAATAATAATAATAATAATAATAATAATAATAATAATAATAATAATAATGAAATTAATATATGTTTATATAATCAAATATACATATGTGTATATTTATATAGAGGAAATTTCAATTTTGGTCATATGACTATAGATGTCTTGTTAATTTCAGTCCCTGACTTTCAAAAGTGTCAATTTAGTACCTTAACTATGTAATTTTTGTCAATTTTAGTCACTGAGGCCAAATTGCCGGCCAAATTTCGCCGGAAAAATTTTAATAGTTAAAATAATGAGGGTATTTTGGTCATTTCACGCCTCTTTTCTTCTTCCCCGGCGAGTCCATCTCTTTCTCTCCCATTTCCGACGTTCTTTATCCCTCTAAACCCTATCTTTAATATCATCAAGCCTCCTTTCCTCATCATCTTAGTTCATTACATCCTCCGGAAACGGGAGAGGAAGTGATGGACTTGCGTGGGAAGAAAAAAAGAGACGTGAAATAATCAAAATACCCTCATTATTTTAACAATTAAAATTTTCCGGCAAAATTTGGCCGGCAATTTGGCCGGAGTGATCAAAATTGACAAAAATTACATGGTTAAGGTACTAAATTGACACTTTTAAAAGTTAAGGACTGAAATTAACAAGACCCCTATAGTCCTATGATCAAAATTGAAATTTTCTCTATTTATATATTTAGTTGTTTTAATATTTAAGCTTTGATATATATATTCATAGATGTAAATAAATACACACACAATATATATACATATATATATATATATATATATATATATATATATATATATATATATATATATATATATATATATATATATATATATATATATATATATATTATTGAGGGCATTATTGTAAATTGATCCATATAACCTAAAATATAACTTTGAACCAAACAAGGTAATATTATATTACACCATCCAAATCAAACACACAAGGTAATCTTACATTCCCAAAATCTCACATTACCTTCCAGAAGGTAATCCTAATACCTGGGGTAATCCAAGATTCCGTAAATCAAACGCCTCCTTAATGTATTTAAAAGATAATTACCGAAATGGTCCCTTGACTATAGCGAAATTACCAATTTAGTCCTTGACTTTTTTTTTTACCAATTAAGTCCCTCAACTTTAAAAATCTTAACCAATTTGGTCCTCCGTTTGTTTGACCGTTAGTCAACCGTTAACTTGGGACCAAATTGGTAATTTGATATAGTCAAGGGACCATTTGGTAATTAACTTTAAGGGTGACAATTCGGTTCAGTTTTC